TGGGATGGATGGGATGGGATGGGATGGGATGGGATAATGGGATGGGATCCATGGGATGGGCTGGGATGGGATCCATGGAATGGGCTGGGATGGGATGGGATGGGATGGGCAATGCTCCGGGGGCTCAGCTCGCCCAGGACACGGACAGCGACATTCGGGGAACGCTCAGACACCTTGTTTTTCTTTCCTTGGGGGAAGGGAGAGGCTTTGTCCCCTCCAAAAAGGAGGTGGAAGAGGAGGGATCCTCTTTGTTTTGCTGGGATCACTGCAGGAGTCACCGCGGGTCCCAGCTGGCCACACCAGGGCCACCCCTCACCTCTGTGCCAGTGACACCTTGCCCTGGTAAATCCCCTTTTCGTGGGCAAACCGTTCTCCTTTTCTACAATCTTTTATTCATATCACTGTGATTATTGCGATTTCTTCAGAAAACTGTGACTTCAGCTCGGAATCTCTCGCAGTGTTTTTCTTCCACCATGGAAAGGGGTTGGCTGCAGGGGGCTTCGTTTTCCTGCTGAGTTTTAAAACTGGATCCTGCCACTGGAGCTGTAGGGACAGAGGGCACCACCAGCTTCCCAGCCTGGAACCTCAGAAATCCCTCTGGGCAGCCAGGGAAACGCTGGGAACAGCGGGACTGGAGCATCAGGGAGCTCAGCCCTCAGCAAGAGCAGATTTTGGGATTGTTTGGGCACCACACCGAGTGTCTGCAGCAGCTGGCTGCCCTGAGGCACCTCACACAGCACAGCCAAGCTCAGAGCAGAGGGAACACCCCAAAAGATGAATGAAGGATTCTCTAACAGCAGGATTGGCTTTTGCTCCTGTGGCACTCCAGTGTGACAGGTCCCAGGAGCTGAAAGGCACCTCTGAGATACATTCAGAGCAGGAGAATTTGGGGAAAAAATACACCCAAAGAGTGAGGGTCACGCAGCAGAGAGTGTGCAGATGGGCTAACACCACGTCCTGAGGAAGGCTGGAAGAGCAGGCACGCTGGGAAGCTCGTCAGGAATCCTGGGAATTCCATCCCTCTGCTTCCCAACGTGCAGATCTTGCTGATTCCCTTTTCCTCCTCTAACCCAAACCTTCAGAAATGCCCACAGTACACCAGGATCTCTCCAGGCCCTCTCTCAGGCAGCTTTGATTGGATCAGTGATAAAAGATCCCAGAGATTTCCATTCTGCTCTGCTAGAAATCCCCTAAAAAATAAGGCCAAGGAGGGAATAATGCAAAGCTCCCAGATCCTGAAGGCACTTGCTTGGAGGAGCATTGCCATGGTGGGATTAACCAGGACTGAGGGCCAGGCTGGCAGCACGGACAGCAGGAGCTGCCTGTGCTCAGAGGCAGAGCTCCCAAAAAATGGTCCCAAAAAAAGAGCTCCCAAAAAATGGTCCCAAAAAAAGAGCTCCCAAAAAATGGTCCCAAAAAAAAGAGCTCCCAAAAAATGGTCCCAAAAAAAGAGCTCAAAAAAAATGGTCTCAAAAAAAGAGCTCAAAAAATGGTCCCAAAAAAAGAGCTCCCAAAAAATGATCCCACAGCCTTTGGTTTCCACCTGCCCCCTCTCCTGAGCAGGCCCTGGGGCTGCCTGGGGAGGCTGGAGCTGTCTGAGCTACTGCAGGGTCAGGGTTGTGCTGAGGCACCGGCACAGAGGGCCTGGAGCAGCTGGCAGCAAACCTGTGGGGCTGGGGGCTCCTGCCACTCCTGGAGGTGACACTGGGGGCTCCTGCCTTCTCCTGGAGGTGACACTGGGGGCTCCTGCCTCTCCTGGAGGTGACACTGGGGGCTCCTGCCTCTCCTGGCATTGAAGGGGCTGCTGGCCTGTCCCAAAAGTGAGACTGGGGGCTGCCAGCCACTCCTGGAGGTGATACTGGGGGCTCCTGGCTCTCCCAGAGGTGGGTTTGGGGGCTCCTGGCTCTCCCAGAGGTGGGTTTGGGGGCTCCTGGCTCTCCCAGAGGTGGCCCTGGGGGCTCTGGAGGGCTGGGCTAGGCCTGCAGCCCCAGCAGGCGGGCGGTGTTCAGCACGTCGTCCCTTGTCAGGTAACAGCCACAGAGCTGCCGGTACCCCGTGAACGCCTCCCGGCCGTGCAGGACACGCCAGTTATCCACAAACAGGACCTGCAGCAAAGGGAAAAGGTGAGCAGGAGGACAGCAGGCACGGCAGGCAGGTCCTGGGGGTGCCTGGAGACTGCAGGAGCAGGTCAGGGTGAGGAGCTGCTCTTTCAGCTCCTCGTGGAGCCAGCCCAAACACATTCTGGTTTCTTTGCCTTTCTGCTGGGGAGGAAACAGTTCACAGCAACAGACACCTGACCACTGAATCCCAGAATGCTTGGAAGGAACCTTGAAGCCCATCTTGCTCCACCTCTGCCATGGGCAGAGACACCTCCCTCTATCCCAGGCTGCTCCAAGCCCTGTGGATCCTGGATTTGAACATTTCCAGGGATGGGGCAGCCCCAATCTCCTGCCTCTGCCCAGGTAAGGGCTCAAATGTAACCTCAGAACTGTCATTTCTTCTGGAAGAAGGGAAAGCCTGAACTTAAAGTGTTCTGGCCTCTCTGCTCCTGAGGATTTCTCCTTTCAGTGGCTGGAAGCTGGGAATAACTTTCCTCTGAGGCAGAGCTTGAACTGAACATGGGAGCTCATATTGCTCTAGGACAGGAGAACACACAGGCAGAAACCACTGCTGCTGATGCTGGAGCACCAGGAAAACTGCTGGATGTGGAAACTGCTGGATGTGGAAATTATGGATATGGACACTGCTGGATATGGAAACTGCTGGATATGGAAATTATGGATGTGGAAAATTCTGGATATGGAAACTGCTGGATATGGAAACTGCTGGATATGGCAGTGCCCAGACACCAGAACAGCCACAGAGCTCCCTGTACCAAACCCCCAGCACTCAGCTCCAGGTGCCACCCTGGGGACACCAGAACAGCCACAGAGCTCCCTGTACCAAACCCCCAGCACTCAGCTCCAGGTGCCACCCTGGGCCAGCCCCAGAGGATGCAGCCCCAGAGGACGCAGCCCCAGAGGACGCAGCCCCAGAGGACGCAGCCCCAGAGGATGCAGCCCCAGTCCCACCTTGCCTGGCTTCAGCTTGACCCAGAGCTCGTTGCCGGGCCGGCGCAGCTCGGCGGTGAGGGCGCGGTGTGCGCGGTACCAGCGGCGCACCACGTCGTGCGGCACCGTGTTGATCACGGCGCGGTCGTAGTTGTTGTACCTGCAGGGGAGGAGAGATGAGGGACTGCCCCACGGGCTGCAGGGCTGCCAGGAGAACCTCGGGAGCCTGTGGGATGAGGGAGGCTGAGAGGGGAGCAGAGAGCTCCAAAAAGCACAGGACTTTTGGGAACGCAGCACTTGCTGCCGAGTGTACACCTGCCCTTCCTGGTTTTCCATGGGAGGACACGGCAAGTCTGGGGGTTGCTCAGAATTAAAGTGCAAAACGGTGCTGGACAACCTCCAGAACTGAGCCAAACTGGAGTTTCAAAAATCAGCCCAAGTTCCCTTTGGAAGGCAGCACCCTGTGCTCTCCCTGTGTGCCAGGATGGCTTCCAGAGGCTTCTCCAGAGAAGGGCTGAACTCTCCTGCATCTCAGATGGAATGGGATGAGAGCCTGGAGCTGAAGGGGGAATGCCAGGAGTGAAAAATCAAAGCTCAGCACCGACACCCAGCTTTGTACCAGCGGTTCTGACGCTTCCTCTAAAGCGGGAGGAACACGGGGTGTTCCTGTGCTCTCATCCCTGCTCCTCAAGGATACGCTGGTTTTCAGCCCATGGAAGGTTCTGGAAAACCACCACCACCAAGCTCTCCTCCCCAGAGGCCTGCTGGCCGTTACCTGATGAGGTAAAGCTCGTTGTTCCAGGGGTAGACGTTGAGCACCGGCCCCACACCGATCATGTGGTTGTGGCAGCCGCCCACGTTCTCCACGTACTCGTGTTTGAGGGGCACCTTGGCCAGCAGCTCAAAGTGCTCCGGGGCCTCCTGCAGCAGCTGCTGGGCCGCGTGGAACCCGTCCACCAGCAGCGTCCGCCCGCCCGTGCCCTCGTGCTTCAGGCAGTGGAACACCTGGATGCTGCAGGGAGACAGGATCCCAGGGAATGAGCCCGGCTGCCTGTGCTCCCCAGGGACGCAGCCATGGACACACCACCCGAACCTGCTGCTCCTCCACACCCAGGCCCACGGCTTGTGCTGGCTCAGGAGGCACAAACTGCCCTGCTGCTTCCCAAACCCAGTGACAGGAGCCTGGGAGACGGCAGAGATGCGGGATGAAGGCCGTGTCACCCAAATCCCAAACCCAAAGAGCAGAGTGGCTGCCCCTGGAGGTGTCCAAGGACAGGATGGATGGGGCTTGGAGCAACCTGGGACAGTGGGAGGTGTTCCTGCAGCAGCACGTACCCGCAGGGCTCCTGGAAGTAGGTGGTGTCCGTGTGCCGGTCCAGGGCCAGCTTGGTGTAGGCTGTGTCTCCTCGGGAGAAGTCAGAGGTGAAGTACCACATCCTGCCATAGATGGTCTCCCTGGAAAAGAGGGGGCTCAGTGTCTGGGTAAGGCACATCCTCCCCGACACTGGAGTTATTCCCCTCTGCTCCCACGCTCAGAGTCGTTAAAGCAGAACAACTTCACAAAATTCTGATGTCGCTTCTAATTCCTCTCGTGGTGTTCAGCTTCTCTTTTTCCTCCCCAGAAGCTGGTGGTGACCAGTCTCCCACTCCACAAACACCTGTGTTTCCACACCAACCCTCATCCCCAGCCATGGAGTGTGCCAGCCCTCACTTGTATCCACACAGGCTCACCCAATAATTCCATTTCTTCCCAGAATCCTGTTTTCACCACCTCCCCCCTCCAACATGCACAGGAGAGCAGGGACAGCAGCCCAGGCCAAACAGCACTCAGGGGCTACAGGGGGAGGGTGCCTGGAGACAAAAGCTGGCTAGGTATTCCCTGGAGCCCCTTGTTTCTATCTGGAGCGACTGTTCATTAACAGAAACCCCTTTTCCAATGGCCCCAGGCAAATCAAAGTGTTCCTGCAGCTTGAGTAAAGCCCCGAGCTCAGCCCCTGGCCTGCCAGGCTGCTGGGGCTTTACACAAACCCAGCACCAACACCTCTCACTGTGTTTCTCCAGCAGGAGCTCCAACTGCTTTTTGATCTCCCTGGCTCCCAGGGCCAGGCTGCCCTCGCGACCCCTCAAGTCATAACAGGAAACGTCTGTCCTTGCAAAGCTCTGCTCTTCCCAGACAGACACTTCCTGCAGTCCCACTGTCACAAAAGTCACGGGATGCTCTGGGGGCAGCTCAGGGAGCGATTCCCAGCTCTCCCATAAAGGATCCCACAGTGCCATCCTCCATCCCAGGCCAAGGGGAGCATCTGTCTGCAAACCAGGCCACGCCACACAAACCACGGGACAAGGAGGCAGCAGCTTTCCAAACAGAAAGAAAACAAGTTTGTCCTTCCCAGGATAGCCCAGACACCTGATGATGCTGATCCTCTCTGCCAGGATTTCCGTGTCCTCCTTGGTGGGAGTGACGTTCTCCACGAAGGCGATCCCGTACAACAAGAAGTTCTGCAGGAATTCCCTCAGACCCTCGTCTGTCTCCAGGAAGCTCCGGCAGTCGATGGAGGGGACCTGGGCTTGCCGGTAGATCTCAGCATTCCAGAGGATCCGGGGGTGCATCACCTGCTGCTTCTGCCCCTCGTAGCTGTTCCTCGCCAGCCACTCCAGCCCATAGCGTGTGACGTGTCCATCGGGCCCTGGCACGGGGACGAGGGCAGAGTCACCAAAACCCCACTGGCCAGCCCAGGACAGCCCTCACCCTTGTCACCTGGCTGGGGACGGGCTCTTGGCACCCTGCTGCCACCCAAAACACCACCTGAAAGGCCACGAGCCCCAAAGGTGCTGTCACTGCTGCCACAACTCCAAATTCCGGGCAGCTGCTGCGGCCCTCTCCCAATTCCCAGCCAACTGTTGCTCCTGCAGTGGTTTTGGGTTTTGTTGACAGGACTCCAGGGACAATCAAAGCTCTGAAGTCAAGCCCTCATATAAAGGTGAGCCCCAGCAAAAGGGAGAAAGCAGTGGGAGAGTGAGGAGAAATGATGGAAAAGGGGCACGGTGAGCAGGGCTGACAGCTCACGCGGGACAGGGAAGGAAAAGAGAAACAACTGTGCCATTCCCCATCTGTCAGCACCTGCTGGGGGGTCTGACCAACCCAGCCACCGCACACACAGAAAGGGCAGGGGCAGGAAAACCACAGCACGTGGATGCAGGGCTGTGTTTGCAGTGAGAGCAGCGTTTAAAACCCGCTGGTGGCTCGGCACCTCCAGATGGGCACTGACATGGAGCCACTGGCAGGCACAGGAGGGCACAGGAGAGCACAGGAGGACACAGGAGAGCACGGGAGAGCACAGGAGGGCACAGAAGGGCACAAGAGGGCACAGAAAGGCACAGGAGGGCACAGGAGGGCACAGGAGAGCACAGGAGAGCACAGGAGGGCACAGGCAGGCACAGGAGGACACTGGCAGGCACAGGAGGGCACAGAAAGGCACAAGAGGGCACAGGAGGGCACAGAAAGGCACAAGAGGGCACAAGAGGGCACAGGAGGACACTGGCAGGCACAGGAGGGAACAGGAGGACACTGGCAGGCACAGGAGGGCACAGGAGGGCACTGGCAGGCACAGGAGGGCACAGGAGGGCACAGGAGAGCACAGGAGGGCTCAGGAGAGCACAGGAGGACACAAGAGGGCACAGGAGGGAACAGGAGGACACTGGCAGGCACAGGAGGGCACAGGAGGGCACAGGAGGGCACAGGAGGGCACTGGCAGGCACAGGAGGGCACAGAAAGGCACGGGAGGGAACAGGAGGGCACAGAAAGGCACAGGAGGGCACAGGAGGACACTGGCAAGCACAGAAAGGCACTGGAGGGCATAGGAGGGCACAGAAAGGCACAGGAGGGCACAGGAGGGCACAGGAGGGCACAGAAAGGCACAGGAGGGCACAGGAGGGCACAGAAAGGCACAGGAGGGCACAGGAGGGCACAGGAGGGCACAGGGGCTCAGCACTCACAGGTGAGGAACAGCGTGGCCTCGTCCACCCGCACAGCCTGGGGCTGGATGGCCAGGTCCACGCTGGCCGTGTCCAGGCTGCGCTGGTTGGTCTTGGCGTTGTAGCAGGAGGCAGAGCGGCAGTGGTCCCGCAGCCACACGAAATCCAGGCGCATCACCGTGCTCCCGTACCTCAGCTCTGCCAGGGATGGGACCAGAGGAGGCTTTGGGGCAACAGGGAGGACAAACAAAGCCAAGAACTGAAGCCCAGAGCCCACACCTCATTGTCTCATTTACAGGGGATGCAGTGGGAGCCCTTGACATAAATTGGCACATGAAGACCTGGCAGAGGGGCTTCTCCAAGGCCTGGCTCCTCTGCTTTGGAGGCACTGTGTAAAGTGCTGAGCAATTCCCTTTGCCTGTGAGTGACTCAGAGCACTGAGACCTCTCTGGCCCCAGCTGCCAGCACCCTGCACAAAGTGGGGCAGCAGAGCTGGGCCCGCACCAGAGCCGAGGGGGCTCTGCCAGGGAAAGCCTGAGCCTGGCACAGAAAATGGTGCCTGACAGGGCAAGGCTCGGACAGATTTTGTTCAGGAATCCCTGGATTTGATCACTTATTTAGCAGTGCCTCACTTATCACAGAAGACCAGGCTGCTCCATGCTGCCTTTGGGAATTCCCGCAGGGAACATGGAACAGGCCCCAGCGTGCATCCCTCTAGGACAGGGAAGGAAAACACACATCGTGCCAGGGAACAAGGGTGGAAACCCTCCCTGCTGTCCCCGGGCACAGCAGGAGCACCCAGACCCAGCACACCTACCGAGATGGTCGCGGTGCAGCTGCCAGGCACAGGGAGGGGACGCTGGGGCCGTGGGGAGGCAGCGCCCTGGGACAGCCAGGACGGCTCCAGGGGCCCGGGGCAGCCACGGCCAGCGGTGCCCGGTGCTCCCACGCCGCCCCCGGAGCAGCCAGGCCAGCCTCTGGCACCACATCCTGGCACTCAGGAGGGAGGGAACGAGGTGACCTGGAGGTGATACTCGGTGCTAAAGCCCAGCAGGACACAGCCCTGAGGAGACACAATGGAGATGTCGGGATCCCGTGAGGATGGGGAGGCCCTGAGGGTGCCCAGAGCAGCTGGGGCTGTCCCTGCATCCCTGGCAGTGCCCAGGGCCGGGCTGGACACAGCCTGGGACAGTGGGAGGTGCCCATGGCAGGGCTGGAATGGGATGAGCTGTAAGGTCCCTTCCAGCCCAAGGCATTCTGTGATTTACCAGGCAAAGCCATTCCAGGAGAGACAGCTGCGTTCAGCACTCCTGTGCAAAATAGTGGCAAAGCCTCACCTCTGAAGGCCTCGTCCCCCCTCCAGCATTCCTAGTTTAATTCACCACTCCTGGATGGAACTGCAGCAATGGGGGAAGCAAAGTGACCTTGGCTAGGGAAGCAGTAACAGAGGAATCCAGAAATTGGGTCAGTTCTAGGAAAAGCAGGCAAAACGAGGAGGAGGAGGAGGAAGATCTCTGCTGCTGGTGAAGGACACAGCTGGCATGGAGGAGAAACCACTGTGATTAATTTCAGGATAGAGATGAGAAGGCAGCTTCTCCAAGGGAAATTTGTAGGAACTCTTCAGTGCAAAGAGCAAGAGCAAGAACCTGACAAGTTTTAAGAGATGACGCCTCAGACTAAATGCCCGTTGTGTTTATGAATTTCTGGGGGCCAGGTCTAAACCCAGCAGGATTTTAACAACACTTTGAAGCGCACTGAAATGTGGTCTCTCTGGATAAGACACAGGCTCAGAAAGCATTTCTTATCCTAGACTTCTGATTTTCCTTCATTTTCTTATCTGGAGAGCCCAGGCACCGGAGCTCTGGCTGTCCAAGCTGCTTCTGCTCTGCAGAGACCTCAAAAGCTGGTGATAACAACCAAATCCACAGAGCACCACGTTCCCAGGCAGCAACTTGTAAAGAGGCATAAAAGAATGCAGACATCCCCAGGGAGAGAAAGTGGGAATGTTTTTGAAGAGAAGGTTTGAGATGAAGGCACACTGACACATTTCAGCCCTTTCCATGAGGAATTTTCCCAACATCCATCCTAAACCTCCCCTGGCACAGCTTGAGGGTGTTTCCACTTCTCCTAGCCCTTGTTACCTGGGAGAAGAGACCAAAGCCGGGCTCCAGCCTCCTTTTCCAAGATATCCATTGCCTGTTCCTGGCTTTGAAACTCTGCTGTAGGGAATGAGCCCCATCTGACACACAGATCTGGTAACCGAGAGAACAGAACCCACAGCTGCAAAATCCAGGAGCTGCCCCTGATGTTAGCAGCTTTAAAATTAATTAAAAAAATTAATATCAGCTTTAAAATAATTCAAGAAATTATTTAAATCCCTGAACCAACGACTCACAAAGCTCAGGATTATCTGAGAGAGGGGAAGCTCTGTCCAGTTTGGCTTTTGGATCCGCTGTCCCAGTGAGGGGTGGGAAACAGAAGGAATTTTGTTTGCACACACAAACAGCACCCAAAATGCCTGGGAGGGCTCACCCACAAATCCATCAGCACATGGCCTGTGCCTGGGGCAGCTCCAGCCTCAGTTTGAGCTTTCCACACACATTTCTTTTATCTCCTCCTCTCCCAGTATCAAAACTGAGCAGGGAATTAACACAGGCAATGGGATATTTAAACCAGATATTTAAACCTTATCGGGGGGATCTTGTGCTGCTCTTCTGGAAGAAAACACCACAGGCAGCTCAGTGAGAGCTGAGCTTCAATCCTTCCAAGAGATACTAAAACCAAGAGGCATTAAACCCCCCAAAATCTGAATGCTTAGGGAGGATTTACAGTTTTTGTTGTTTCATCAGAGCTAACAGCTGGATGAGCTACGTGAACAGCAAACTCTCATCCCACACCTCCTGCGACCTCACCTTTATGCTTTATGTGGTTCAGACACCTGGGCAGCAGGGAAATGAGAGAATTCCAGGAAAATCTCCCTCAGAACTCAAAGGGAAAGGGCAGGAGGGAGCAGACATTGAATACTCAATGCACAGACACACATGGTGGGTGACACAGTACAGAAGCCACAGGGTGAAGGAGAGAAGGGAAAAGCAGAAACCTCAAATCTATCGTTTGGTTGCATTGGTTTGAGGAATTCCCATCAGTCTTTGGAGAGGAGATGCTGTGGAAGGAGCAGAAAGCTGGGTTTCACAGGGGTGAACCCCAACACTGCAGCTTGTCTCACAAGAAACATTTAAAGGAAACAAAACCAGGTTTGATCTCTGAGGAAAAGCCACAGTCCCCATTCTGGGCAGAGGAAATGGTGAAAAAATGAGTGACCAAATCGTTTCATCTAGGAAAGGAGAAACCCCACAAATCTGGAGGCTTTCACCAGCTTCTAGACAAACCCTCCTGGGTTTGACCCTGCTGCCCTCCCTGCCCTGCTCCAGCCCCTCCAGCCTGTCTGTCCAGCTCCTCTGAAGAAAAAAAGGTGTTTTCTATTAAAAGACACCCCAAACATTCAGCTGCTCACACTCACTCAGCTTTTACTTCTGGAAGCACCTGGCTGGAGCCAAGATTTCTGATCCATATGGAACAGGGAGGTGCCAGTAGCACAACAGCTCAAAGTGAGGGAAAGGAATTTGGGTTTTGATCCTCTGGGATCCTTTAAGCTGACAGTTCTCCCTGCAGTGAAGGAACACCAAGAAAAAGAGGAATTCTGCAAAGGCTGAGCCGCCCTGAGGGCTCTGTCGGAGCCAGAGGAGCCAAGAGCACAAGCCCAGGTGACAAACCAGATCCCCCAGGATGGCAGCACCTCTTGGACAGGACACAGGCAGAGTTTAACAGCCTGAGCTGACTCAGTTAATTAGAATTAATTAACACAGAGACAAAAAGCAGACTGGCTGTTCCCTGCTGAGCTCCTGCCCTCACCCTGCAGACAACTCCATCAGATCTCAGCTGTCAGGGACCAGATTCCCCTTCCAGCCCTTCCCCACAGGGGATTTCAATGAAATTAAGGAGCTAATAAAGACATCCCAGGCACTGCCAGCTTCACAGCTACTTCATTTTCCTGGAAGCAAAGGGAATTATCTGCTCACCCCACGTTTCACACTGGCCACCTGACTCCAGACCCCCTTCCCAGAACCTCATTCCAGCCTCCTGTTTGTGTTTCTCCCAAGCAAAGCCTTTCCAGGCCACACAGCTCAACAAAAACAAGTTCTAATTCTGTTTTATTTTCCGTCAAAGCAGCCAGCCCTGACGGTAGAACCCCCCAGAGGAGTTACTGCTATTGCTAAACCACTTGGTGCTCTGTGTCCTGCCCGGGCAAAGAGCAGCCAGGCGGCTCTCCCGGGCAGGGAGGGGCTGTGATTTTCCAGGGAATGAGGGAAGACAGCTCTACCCACGAGATTCCCTTTCGATGGGATCGTAATCCCCGTGTGACCCCGGGCCTGGCATTACCTGGGCCCGGAGCTGGGGATGATGGAGCGCGGCTGGGGCTGGGCTGGGATGGATCGCGGGGGGAATCCCGCAGGATCCGGGATGGGATGGATCAGTGGGGGCTGTACCGGAGGGAATCCCGCAGGATCCGGGATGGATCAGTGGGGGCTGTACCGGAGGGAATCCCGCAGGATCCGGGATGGATCAGTGGGGGCTGTACCGGAGGGAATCCCGCACGCTCCGGGATGGATCAGTGGGGGCTGTACCGGAGGGAATCCCGCACACTCCCGGATGGGATGGATCAGTGGGGGCTGTACCGGAGGGAATCCCGCACACTCCGGGATGGGATGGATCAGTGGGGGCTGTACCGGAGGGAATCCCGCACACTCCCGGATGGGATGGA